GTATATTCAAAAGGAAGATCACAGTCTTGCCTGTAATCCAAAAAAAGAAAAAAAAATATGTACTGTTCCCAGTCGCTAGAGGGGAGCCAGGGAGAGGGTCACACATGACTACCATGTTATGTAACAAAGACGCTGAGTTCGATTCTTCGTACACACTCTTGCGTGTAATTCTCAAAACACTCCGAGTTAGGGAAGCAAAGGGGAGGAGCTAGGTCATATCCCTGAGGTCGCAGAGCTGGTCCGTGGCAGGGCTCAGATTCTAGCCTGCCTCTGTGACTCCGCGGGAGAATGAACTCTACAGAAAACTGCTACCACCTCTCTCCGCTTTTTTTTTTTTTTTAATAGACTCTATTTCATAGAGCAGCTTTAGGTTCACAGTAAAATTGAGCAGAGGGTACAGAGATGTCTTCTATATTGTGTCCCTGCACCTGTGTAGCCTCCCCCATTAGCGACACCTACCCCCCTCAGCAGGCTGGTACATTTATGACAACTGATAATCCTAGTGAACATGTCGTTATCACCCCAAGTCCATAGTTCCATCGGGGTTCCCTCCTAGGGGCTACAGGTTTACAGATCTGGGGAGACGTGTAACACCATGTATCCGCCTTCCAATGTCACACATACATGGTCATGCCACTGCCCTGAAAATCCTCTGTGCTCTGCCTTACTCCTCTCTCCCACCCCAACCCCTGGCAGCCACTGCTCTGATCCCTGTCTCCATAGTTTGGCCTTCACTTGAATGTCACAGAGGGGGGATAGCACAGAATGAAGCTTTTTCAGACTGACTGCTCTCACGGAGGTTCTGCTGTGCATTTCCATTTCCTCTGTGTATTTTCATGCTTCAAAGCTCCTGTCTTTTTTAGTGCTGAATAATACTCCACGGTCTGGGTGTACCACAGTTCCCAGAGACATTCACCTCCTGAATGTGGCTGGCTTTGAAAACTCCATTCTGGCTTTGAAAACCTCATCCTAGCGCAGTTACAAATAGAGATGGCCACCAGGCTAGTGCTTCCTCTTCCGGGCCTCAAGTCTGTTGCTCAGTCCTGCTGCCCCCCACAGCACCCGGCAGGTGCCCCTTCAGCACCCCTTGTCTATGCATCATTTCAGTAGCCTGGGAACCACCTGGGCCACCAGAGCGAGCTCCCACAACTACAAGGAAGTCAGGGCTCTCCTTCCAGGCCACCACTCCCAATAGGGCTATGCACTTCCTACGCGATCACCATATAAGTTGCTCTTTTTTTTTTTCCATCCAACCTAGCAACCCAGCCATCCTGTGTTGAGTGAGCACTGTGAGGTGCTGAATGTTGGGGTCCTCCCAAATGTATATATCGGCTGAATCCCAACCCCCAGTGTGATGGTGTTGGAGGCGGGGTCTCTGGGAGTTCATTTGTACCCTTATAAGAAGAAGAAGAGACAGGACAGCTCTCCCTCCGTGGGCTCAGACTGAGCAAAGGCCGTGTAAGCACATAGCAAGGAGACAGCCACCTGCAAGCCACGGAGCCAGTCCTCACCAGACCCCAAATCTGCCAGCACCTCTGTCTTGGCAGAGCTGGGAGAATAAGCATCCGCTATCATGCTATCCGGGTCTATGGTATTTGGCTGTAGTAGCCCCGGCTGGCCAAGACAAGGACCTGCCACATGTCAATCTTAGATGGCAAGTCCTTGGAGCACATGAAATCTGTTTACGCAAGATTTTGCACAGGTGCACCCATCGCGGCACCTTATTCCATTAGTAAATATATTTTTGGGGAGACAGAGTGGTGTGCAGGCAGATTAAAAAAGAAGACAGTAACAAAAAGCTTACAAGGCCCTCTGAATTAATTTTATCATCAGGTAATTATATTAAGTATAACATTATAATGGTCAAACTATGGCAGTTATCATTCTCACAAACCCTTACAGAATATTTTCTGTGTTTTCAGACTGAAATGCTTTCACATCAATGTAAATGTTCTTGTTGCTTGAAAATGCTGCATGGGCTGAAATATAAATAGATTCAAGAAAGTTTCAAATAAATTCCTGGAGGGCAGACTTACACCAAGTTATTAAAGCAGCATTCGGAATAATCAGCGTGCATTCCTAACCTCTGAGAATGATCTCATGAAGGGCAAGTGCCTTAATCTGGCCCAGGTCATCTTGGTGGCTGCATCGGAAGCAGGAGCTCAAGTGAACAGAGGTCACGGCTGACCGGCGGGCCACCGCTAAGGAGTGCCTGTGGAACAGGAGTCAGCCAGGTTTCCACTCTGCAGGGAGCCAGCCCTCTGGTATCCCACCCCTTCCACCTGTCCGGGAGCCAGCTGTGTGTGCCCCAGGGGCCCAGGACTCTCCCTCCACAGAAGCACTGCTTAGCTTTGTGTCACACGGTGAGTCACCAGCACGGTTGGGAATGGACCCAGGATTCCTGCTCCTGTGCTCGCTGGGGCCATTTGCCGGCGATCACAATCCTTCCACGTTAGTGGCCGGTTACATTTATGGCTCCTAATGACATTTAATGGGGCTTCTGGGATGGGGAAGTGCTGGGGAGTTGAAGGCTGGGAGATAAAAAATCCAAACCTGAAATGACACACAAGATCTTTATTACAGAAGGTTTAAAAATGGCAGTGCACTTCATCGGGTCATTCACTGGGGGGGGAAATGCCCACACTGGGGGAGGAGTGAGCCCCTTAACCTGTCTTAAAACCAGGTGGGCCGGTGCTGTGGCTCAACAGGCTAATCCTCCGCCTAGCGGCGCCAGCACACTGGGTTCTAGTCCCGGTCGGGGCGCCGGATTCTGTCCCGGTTGCCCCTCTTCCAGGCCAGCTCTCTGCTATGGCCCAGGAAGGCAGTGGAGGATGGCCCAAGTCCTTGGGCCCTGCACCCCATGGGAGACCAGGAGAAGCACCTGGCTCCTGGCTTCGGATCAGCGCGGTGCGCCGGCCGCGGCGGCCATTGGAGGGTGAACCAACGGCAAAAGGAAGACCTTTCTCTCTCTGTCTCTCTCACTCTGCCTGTCAAAAACAAAACAAAACAAAACAAACAAACAAACACACACACACACACACACACACACACAAACCAGGTGGGAGTTAGAAGGAAGGGCAAGAGGCAATAGCCTGTGGATCTCAGAAATCGTGTTCTTTCCTCCCTGCAACTTCATTCTCTCCCGACTTGCGGCCACTGTCTGTCTTGGCTTCCATCTCATCCGTGACATGCCATCATTTACGGGCACATTCATGCCCTTTGCCTTACCCGAGTCCTATCACAGGTGTGTGGGACCCAAGGAAAGAGACATCAAGTGACTGCGACTCTCCACTACCCGCAGGCCGTGGGACTCCCTGCAGGTCACCCCACCTGGACCCAAGTCCCCCTTAGTTACACAAAGCAGGAGCTGGCTTGGCTGGCCTGAAAGTAGCAGGCAGGCCACCCTATGCTTCTGCACCTCCGTGTACAGCCCCAACACAGAGGAAGCAGCTGCTGCCCCCACAGACCTCTCAGCTTTTCCCATCTCCTGGGGAGCACACAAGGGATGGGGCTGCACGCGCGGAACAGGAAGAGCTGCAAGCAAGACTTCCATAAGCAGGAGGAGCAGGAGCCCTGATGGCTGGAGACTGGGGCGGGGTGGGGGGGCAGTTATAAGGAACTCCCAGGTGTGGGCTGGGGAGGAAGGCACCCCTGCAGGCCCCTTAGCCAGAAGCCAGTGACATCCGCCTGAGGTCACAGTGGCCACAGCTCACCCCCTGTCCATGTCCAGTGCACAGTCACCCCTGTTTTGCTCAAAGCTTTGTGAGGTTGTCTCCTTTTTGGTGGGAGGGGACAGAGGGAATTTTCTGTTTTGGAGTTCAGAAGGGATTATGACAGAGGAGACACAGGCTATTTCTTCTGCTCTTAGATCCAGCCGCTGATATGCCAGGTGACCTCTCCAGTGCCCAGTAAGGACACGGGGTGACAGACAGGCCTGGCAGGGCAGGGACTTGGGTGATCCAACCTGTATCACTAAAAACATGAACCCTGGAGTTTGACCTGCTCGCTCTTCATTCTGTGTTGAATCTTACTGTGCAGCGACCTCCTTTCTCATCAATAAAATGGGTTCAGTAGCACCCATCTAAGAGCTGCGAGGATTAAACAAGTGTGTGTGTGTGTGTGTGTGTGGGTGGGTGCGTGGGCGGCACACAGCAAACCTCAGTGAGTGGGAGCTCCCTGTGGGGCTGCCATGGTGCGGACAGACTCAGGGTGGGCAGGGATCATGCCTCTGGAAGCTTCCACAGGCAGTAGTGGGATAGCAGGCGGGCTTGGAGACAGGCTCCAAATTTAACTACCAGGGAAGTTAAGCTGTTTTAGGTCACATGACTAATGACAATTTGGACACAATCAAAACAGTGACAAATGACCAGGCTGACAGACTACACAAACTACTGGCTTTCTCGACCAGCAGAGCCATACACATATGCCAAGGGGCTGCAAGTGAAGTGGCTGGAGTCAGGGCCACTGTTCCCCATTTTTGAGTGAGAATCAGAGGGCAACGGAGACGGCCTTCTAGCTAATCAAGGAGGGCTTCTAGGAGGAGGTTCTGGGACTTCGAGGAAGGAGCTTCCGAAGAGGCTCAGGTACTCTCCTGTTTTCATCACCATTTCAGTTCTTCGGTACAAAGGAGGAATCAAACGGGATCCGAATCCACGGGTACCTGAGAGGAGTCCGCTCCTCAAACCTTTTCAAACGATCCCAGGCCTGGTCCCTTTAAGGTATCGAAACCCCGTGAACATTCTACCAACTGCCTCACGGCCTCCCCGCGGCGCGCTGACGTCATCCTTCGGGGAAGCGGCTGACGTCAGCGCGTTCTCAGCGAGAGGGGGCGGGGCCGGTGACTCACCCGGACCGCGCCCCTCGCCCCCCGCCCCCGCCGGGCGGCGCGCACGTGAGCGCGCGCCGCGTTGGTTTCTAATTTTAGCTGCGGCGGCTGCGGTGGGGTCGGGTGAGGTAAAGGCGGGTGAGGGTACCAGGCGGGCGGGGGGCCACGGTTCTCGTCCCTTGGTGCCCCGCCATGGAATTCTCCTCAGGGTTGGGGGCGCGGGCCGAGGAGTGAGGTCCGCGGGGGGACTCGAGTGACCTCCCGGGACGGCAGGGCCGCCTCAGCGGGAGTGGGCAGGCGTTCACGGAATGAATCGAGGTTCCCTCCTGGACCGCCACTCCGGGCTTTCCCCAGAGGGACGGAGTTCTGGAAAGTTCTGGGGTGGGCGGAGTGCCGGAGCGGCTGGGCTCGGACCCGGCGGCCAGGACCGGCCGCGGCGAGCCCCGGGAGGTCTGGGCAGCCGGCCGCGCCCGCAGTCGGCGGGGCAGAGGCAGGGACGGTGGCCGCCGCGGCTTGAAGGGCCGTAGTGCTTGCGGGGTCAGGCCAACGAGACCTGCGAGTCACCGGGTGCGGGGGCCCAAGCCGACGCCCTGAAAACCCAGGCTCTGTGTTCTGAGCCCTGTGCCCACCGGGGACCTTGTGCGGTGGCCACGCTCCCGTTCTTTGGGGAGCAGAAGTAGTGGGAAGCAGCTCGGTCCGCGTACCGTGAACTGCGATCTGACCCCGCCGGGGGGGGGGGGGCGTGCCACAGTGACCCACATCCTACCGGCGTGGCGGACACTGCCTCGGTAGCAGCCTTGACCTCCGTCAGACGGGTGCTGGAAAGGGGACGGGACTCTTGAGAGGGCAAAGGGGGGAATGGGAACGTTTTCCAGGGGCTGAGTCGTGAAAATTCTATTTCAAGTTTCTGAAGCTGTAGGTTCAGTAGCACCTTTTCCTATTCCCCCTTCTTAGGGAAAAGTGGTGGGAAGTTAGTTGTGGATTCAAGGCAGCTTTGGAGATTTTGACATGAACGAACAACAAATCTTCGAGTGTTAGTTCGGATATAAATGTGGATCCTGCAAGCTAAAAAGCTTTATCCCCGTCATCCATCTTAAAAACCATATTTTACAGGACGGCTACAGTCTAATAACTGGTGTTCGGATACCTCCAGGAGCACGCATGCTGTTTTGTACTGTTCACATAGCAGCAAAGGTCTCCGTGCCCTCCTCGTGTACAGTTGCAACAGCATTTTCCTCAAAGTGATTGATGCCTATTTGGGGAGGGTCTGAAATTGAGCAGGTGTGAATGACAATAATCTCCAGCTGAGTTAATGTCCCCTCGTGTGGATTACTGTCTGTGTGTATGAGGATGTTAGCATCAAAGTTCCCGCGTTCAGAAATTAACATTTTTAGTCTGGAAACTGGATTTCTGCTTTTAGGATACTTGCTCTTGGAATGGGCTACCTGCATGCTGTAGGCATCAGCGTTTCTGCAAAGCCTTCCCTGCCCCCGCCCTGCCTGCTTTTTAAAACATGCACCTGTTACTCCTCTGGGATTGTTTGCTTACCTGTTTTTTTCTCCCACTAGAGTGAAGTCTGGGGAGGGGGAGTTCGATCTGGCCTTTTTACCTTTGTAGCTCTCACACCTAGAATAGTGCTAACAGGTAGTAAGAGATAACATTTTTGGTAGTATTTTGTGTCATTGAGTAAATACAAGCGTTTGAAACCACAAACACATTTTGGGAAGGGAGAGGTTTTGTTTTTGTAATTGAGAGGGATTGAGCTGGAGATCTGAGGTCCACGCCCACTGCAGGCTCTCCTGTTCCACAGAAGTTTAGTTAGGGACCAAGTGGCAATGAAAAGCACTTTTTGTTCAGTTTGGTTTTAGTTAAATAAAAAGACTTTTTTTATTTTGGTCAAAGTGACAGGAAGCTAAAAGGAATATAGAATGTAGCAAATATGAAAATATGGACTATATCAGGCCTCTATGGTGGCTGTATAAATGGGATAAGGAAGGCATGAGGTAGACTAGAAAACACATGCAAAGGTGAAGTGAGAAAATCCACCCGAGTCAGAGGCATCCCAGGTTTCAGTGTAACTACCCTGCTCTCACCATTCTTGGAAATGCTAGTTTTTTGTTTGCTCTTCACCCTAGGAACCTTCAGAAACTACCTTTAACTAGGATAACACAGGTGTCCACATTTTTAATTGTTCTTACAGAACGCAGATACAGGTGGCTGGATCTGGCTTGTGGGCTCAGAGGGAATAATTACTCTGCTAATTCATCTTGGGAGTAAATGCAGGTTTTCCTATGGTGGATTTTCTCAGAAGGACAAAAGAGTGGAAATGGAGAGGAGAAAGGAAACTCAGTGGAGAGACAGAGATTTTTTAGAAATTTATTTGAAAGGCAGAGTTAGAGGGAGAGACATCTGCTGGTTCACTCCTCAAATGACCACAACAGCCGGAACTGGGCCAGACTGAAAGCCAGGAGTCAGGAGCTTCTTTCGGGTCTCCCATATGGCTGTAGGGGCCCAAGCTCCTGGACTGTCTTCACTGCTTTCCCACGCATTTGCAGGGAGCTGGATCAAAAGTGGAGCAACTTGAACTGGTGCCCATATGGGATGCCAGCGTTACAGGTGGTGGCTTAATTCACTATGCAACCAATGCTGGCCCTGAGAGTGGAGATGTTTATTGAGTGAATGATGATGCACAGCGAATGAATGGGTAAACCCAGAAGCCTAAGCACCAAAAAGAGTAATATTGTCCTGAAAACTACAATATAAGCCATTTTGGCATATGGCATTTACAGTAAAAAAGGGAAAAAAGAAGTTACACAACAGAAAAAGATTAGGTATCTAAAAATGTTTTGAAAAAATAATTCAAAAGTTTACTTCTATGCCGTTTTAATTGGATATATTACATAATTGCAAGGTTCAGTGAACAGTGGTTTCAAGTTATTTGCCTGCTCTGATTTGTGAAAGTTACTAAGTAATTTGGCCAGGACTGTGGTATTAGAGCAGTTAACCTATATAGTGAAATAAAGAATGCCACTTTTTCTTGTCCAATGAACACAGAAAAAAAAGAATTCCTTGTGTGTATCCAGCCAAACTCTAAATTGTGCACTTAAAGACAATTCCAAGTAAGCAAGATGCCAAAAAACTTTTCTTTCTCCTTTCCTTTTCTAAGGAAGATACTGGAGGGTGTGCTATCAAAATGAGGGACTAGACCAAGCACGAGGAAGGCATGAGTGCTGGGACCAGGGACTACAACTAGTGCTGCAGAAATAGAGGTAACTCAAAAATAATTCCAAATGGAAGGTTGAACTTAAAAGTTGAAGTACAGCTTAAAGGGAAAAAATAGATAAGAAAATGAAAGCTAGAGATAAGAAGAAATGCATACACTGAGCCTATATAATTTTAACAGTTGGATGGCAAATGTATTGTTTTCTCACATCCAAAGTAAAATAGAAAATAGATTCTGTTGCAAGTTGCATGATAACCTTACATAAAAACAAAGCAGTTGGTACCTGAAAGACCTCAGGTGGATCTTAGGAAAAGAACCTGTCTGTCCTTATCCTTACAATAGGATACTGTGTTTCATTTGTTATACCTACTGACCCAAAAATATTTTTAAGCAAAGGTGATTTTATTATTATTTATTATTTGAGAGAGAAAGGGAGAGAGATCTTTCATCTGCTGGCTCACTCTCCAAATGCAGCAGCCAAGGCTGGGCCACACTGAAACCAGGAGCTGAGAACTCCATTCAGGTCTATGACTTGAGTGGCCACAAACCTAGGTATATGGACCATGATCTGCCTTCAAGGTACATTAGCAGGGAACTGGATCAGAAGTGCAGGGTAGCTGGGACCCGAGCCAACACTCTGATATGGGATGTGGGCGACCCAAGTTGCAGCTTAATCCACTGTGCCACAGTGTTTGCCCAGGTATTTTTAAGTGGTACCACATTAGACTTCAAGGAAAGATGGTTAGTGGCAACCAATAGAGAGGTGATTCCGTTATCCTGGTCAGTTTAGCTCTTTCCCACATTAGCCCTTTCTGAGCAAAACCAGAACTCTTTCCTGCACTTACCCTTTTATAGGAGACAGTTTGGTAGCCATCTGGTTACTGGAACATTTCCATTTGGGGTCTCATGTCTCCAAGTGTATTGCTCATGAGTGTATCTTCCTACCATGGTACACTTGTTTTACTACTTTCAGGCTGAATTTTTCTGGCTAACCTGGTAATCTAATTAGAATTCTAATTGAGGTAGAAAACTTTCTGATAACCTTGTTACTTCCACATGTTACACTGAGAATATTGCATACTTTAAGCAGTCTTTCATAACATTTATAACCAGGCTTGTATTAATATGCAAAATTTGTTCAAAGCTATAGAGATCGGATGACTGGTCGCAAGTTATCACATATTCCCCTAAGCACTGATGAGAATTTGCTATACAATTGTGAAAAAGCAACACTTTGTCTTTTCATTTGACATACTTTCCATTAATACCTCTTGGAAATTCAAGTCTAACTTTCCTAACTCTTTGTGTGATTGCCATTTTAAAACCTATAGTTCATTAGTTGTTGACTGAGCATTGGAAAGAAATAAATTTTCAAAATGACTTTTTGAGCAGACCTTTAAGAAGATGAAACTTTGTGTCATTAGCTCTTTTGTGCTTGGTAGGGTGTGTTTAGTCACACATAGCTAAGACTGACACACTAAAATTCAGAATTTTAAAAGCAGAAATCTGCCTGTGCAGTGTTAACTCTCTTTTCCAGGAAGCTCATTAGCAGGGTTATTTGTCAAAGTAATAAACTGCCTGTCTGCCACTTACAGGCCAATTATGACTGAACTAGAATTTCTTTAATAGTCTAGAAAATGCCATGGCAGTCTATACTGGAGTCCCATGATAATGTTTTTATTCTGACCTGAAATAAATTACCTTACATCAAATAAAGATTAATGAAACAGTGCTTCTTCACAGTTAAATCTACACCTAGCATTGCTGTAAAAATATTTCTAAGTAAAGTTTTTATTTTTCGTGACTTTTAGCTCTTTTTAAAAATAGAAAAATGTTTTTCTCAAGGTTGATATGACTTTTAAACAATGGTCTCTAAAAGTACTGACTGATATATTCCTATAACTAGAATGGTCAAACTTAGAAATACTTTTTGTGAGAATATATCACAGATGTTGAAGAATTATTTCTTCATAAGTTGCAATCCAGCTTTAGCAACTATTTGACTTCAGAAAAACACACAATAGAGTGTAATTTTTAGTTATTTGAATCTTATATTTTCTGCATCGAGATGTTATGAAGCTCTGTGCTGTGTAAAAATACCACTGAAGTCAATAAACTTAGCTTATATGAAAGAGCCATAGGATCTTTTTTTTAAGAATCATTTATTTGAGAGGTAGAATTACAGAGAGAAGGAGAGACAGAGATCTTCCATCTGCTGATTGACATGTCAAATGGCTGCAACAGCCAGTCTTGGCCATGTTGAAGCCAGGAGCTTCTTTCTGGTCTCCCACGTGAGTGTAGGGGCCCAAACACTTGGGCCATCTTCTGCTCTCTTAGGCCATTAGCAGAAAGCTGGATTGGAAGTGGAGCAGCCAGAACTCAAACTGGCACCCATATGGGATGTTAGAGCCACAGGTGGAGCCTTAACCCACTACTCCACAGCGCCAGCCCCAAGCCATAGGATTTTTTTTTTTTTTTTTTTTTTTTTTTGACAGGCAGAGTTAAACAGTGAGAGACAGAGAGAAAGGTCTTCCTTTTCCGTTGGTTCACCCCCCAATGGCCGCGATGGCTGGTGCGCTCTGGCCGGCACACCGCGCTGATCCAAAGCCAGGAGCCAGATGCTTCTCCTGGTCTCCCATCTTTGTCACCTAATTTATGTTTCTCAGTGCTGAATTTATTTTGTGGATAGAATAAAACTTGTTAAACATTTCAGAAACTGGAAAATTGAAGAACTTGGTCAAGTATGATACGTTTTAGAAATCTTTCCTTTCTAAAAGTCAACCGTCCAGTTAAGTGTAATATTAGCATGTGACCCCAGATCTTCATGCTGACTCTACAGTACTGTACTTAGCTCTTCCCTAGACTGTGGACTTCTCAAGTTAGAAATTGTGTCTTTTCATAATTTGAGTTCTTCATGCTTGGGAAACATAGCACCTGGTAAATTCTGCTTGAGTAACTAGCAGATAGCTACAAAAAGGTGGCTTATTATCACCAAGTTTTGAAGTGAGTCAGGTAAGGCTCTCTATTCTTAGCTTTTTCCCTTTAGTCTCAGTTTCATACCCTTGAACAGGCTAGATGTGATTTTGTCTATGTATGCTTAGGGTATTTGTGTGTGTGTGTGTGTGTGTGTGTGTGATGTGAACGTCTAAATGTAATTCTTCCTACCTTTTCCACCTTATCTTCCACCCCTATATTTGAGAAATATTTGAGGAACACTCAGCTTTCCCACAGCTTTAATAAAGGAAGTGTTTTCAGAATTTCCATTTTTCAAATGGGACTCTGAACTGGGTGACTTTTGGTCATGTGGTGGATTGCCTAACCTAATTTTAGGCATTTTCCTTGGATTATCATATTTTTAAGAGGAAAACAAGTAGCCTCCTCAGAACAAAAGACCTTATTCTGCATCACTCTCTTGTTGGCTTACTTAGTCATTCCCAGCATCTTCAACCAGATTAAATTGAGTAATTTGACTCATCATGTTTCTTTCCCATCTTATATGTAAAAGAACAGGTTTTTGGTTTTGTTTTTTAACAACTACAATGTAAAAATCACTGTCCATGTTTCATGGTATTTCAGATTCCTACCATAATTCCGTTTGTCCTCCACTATTTTTGCTTCTTTTCTAGTAATAGAGCATTCTCCTGGATTCTTGATGTTTATCCACTCTTCTACGCCTTGCACGCTGGATGTCCATTCCTTTCATTAACATTTTTTTTTTACAGAATTTTTTTTCTCTCTGAGAGTGCTCCTACCTGCTGGTTCACTCCCTAAATGTTCTCAACAGCTGGCTGGGCCAGAGCTGGGAGCCTGGGTCTCCCCGTGCTGGCTGGAACCCAGTCACTGGAGCCATCACTGCTGCTGCTCAGAGTCTGTATTAGCAGGAAGCTAAGTCAGGAGCTGACCTGGATATCAAACCCAGGCACTCCACACGGGACATGGCTGTCTTAACTGGAGTAGAACTGCAAGGCTAAAAGTCTGCCCCCATCAGCATTTTAAAGACTCAGATAGGATATCAAGCATTGCACAACTACATATATGACCTGGTTTTGTAAATGGAAACATGAATGCTTGTGCAAACAAATTCAGTGCAAAAACTCAGGCTACTTTCCACTCTAGACCCCGCGTCCTACAGAAGTAATATTTTGAAGTTTCTTGTCACAACTTACATTTTTAAAATAAATCATGTGTTATCCTCCTTTAAATGGAAATTACAGGTTTATCTCTTGAGCAATATGTACAAATTGATTTATTACTGTAATTTAATACTATTTTTTTAAAAAGAGATTTTATTTATTTATTTGAGAGGCAGAGTTACTGACAAAGAGAGGGAGAGACACAGAGAAAGGTCTTCCATCCACTGGTTCACTCCCCAGATGGCCACAAAGGTTGGTACTGGGCTGATCTGAAGCCAGGAGCCAGGAGCTTCTTTTGGGTCTCCCATGTGGGAGCAGGGGCCCAAGCACTTAGGCCACTCTCTACTGCTTTTCCAGGCCATAGCAGAGAGCCAGATCAGAAGTGGAGCAGCCAGGACTTGAACCAACACCCATATGGGATTCTGGCACCGCAAGCGGAAGCTTAGCCTACTATGCCACAGTACCAGCCCAACACTATACTCTTAATTTTTAAGATAAATTAGAGATAAAAATCAGAATTATATTATAAATGAAAAAGGGTTAAAGGAGCACCAAGCTGAAAGGAAAGGTTTGGTCTGATATAGGCTCTACCACTTGAATCAAATGTTCTATAAGAGCCATCCACTCAAATCCTGTAATTCTGTGACTTTCTGTATCTACAGCTACACATGGATAATAGAATCCTCTAAAATCACAATAGAAATCCACGTGACTCTTCTGTTAAAGAAAGGGAAAGAAGAAACAAGTACTTTTTGAGAGGCTAATATAGCCTTTATCTGGTGCTAACAATGATAACTATCTCATTTAGCTTTCTAAGAACTTTTGGAGATATTTCAATAAATGGTGCTGAGAAAATTGGTTATCCACATGCTGAAGAATGAAACTAGAGTCCTATCTCTTACTGTGTACAAAG